ATCTTGTTGTGATCCTCCTATGAAAAACCACTCAGAAAGTCAGAGACAAGGAAAGCAAAGATCATCCTTGTAAAACTAACAATCAATAACCAAATAGGTACTTAAAGAAATCTACAAGTCACAGATTCAAAGAATTAATTTTATTATTATTTGTAAATGTTTTCCTCCTATCAATCTGAACCTGGAAAGGGAGGGATGAGGAAAATGTTTTACCTTCTTTCTTGGCCAGGTACCACAGATAGAAACCTGGGAGAAGCTGACCTTGGTGAGAAATCTTACCCTTTTCTGCTGCATCTGCCAGTTCTCCCAGGATTTCACCTGTAGGTACTGGAGCAGTCAGGGTGTCTCTGTTGGCCCCATCTTGGGTGCCAAATTGTAAAGGAGAAAACATAATTTCTGTCCTTTCCCTTTTTTGATTCTTAAAGAGACGCTGTTGAGACACTGTCCTGAAAACAAAAGTCAGATTAAACAAGTGAGGAAAACAAGCAGAAGTTTATCAACACGTGCTGTACCCATCACGCAGGAAAAGTCTCAGTTCAAAAGTGTTTCTTTTTCAAGGCAGTGGCTTAGGGTCCTTGCTTAAATAATATTTTAACAAGGAGCCATAAATCCTACTTAGTGACAAGAAAAAGAAGAAAGCATCTTCAGGCTTCCAAAAGGTGGGAAAATATGGGAAGGTAAATTGATGGGGAGAGTGAAATCTGCTCCTAGACCATCTGGTGCCATTGTCTATGGGCTCTGTCTCTAAGCGTGTTGATGTGTTCTCTTTGGCAGCACATGTACTAAAATTGAAACAATACAGAGAAGGTTAGTATGGTCCCTGTGCAAGGATAACACAAAATAAAAAAGCAATAAAGTAGTAAAAGTCTAGTTTAAATTTTAAAAAGATATATATATATTTTAAAAAAGAAAGTGTGTTGTAAAGGAGCTTGTCCTTAGGTGGGAAAAGTAGAGAGGAGGGGCAGAGTCTGCCTCTGTGTTTTAAACTTTTAACTTTAATTAAAATCGCCAGTATGTTAGAGAGGCATATTTTGCTTATAATTCCTCTTTCTCTCACACATATATTGAAGGCTCTGTAAAGGATGGAAGACTTGTCAATCACCTCTGTGTTTGCATTCATAGTGTGTGACAAACAACTCGCATTAAGTAAATATTTGTTGGATGAATAAGTGAACAAATGAATGCGTGGTTTACAGTATGCTCAGTATCCTACTGGCACCAAATATAACCTTTTGCATAAGACCAGTATCAAAATTAGTAAATACTTCATGGGAATTTATTTGCCACATAGAAATCATTTAATAAATGCTAAACCCTTATTTGAACTACAAAAAGAAAAAAAAATCACTCAACAGAGTGAGGGAAATGAATATAAATTTAACAAACCTGACCATAAGGGTTTTAATTATTTAATGATTTAATGAGTCCGAGAGTGGGTGAGTGCATGACTGATTGCTTCATGGAACCCATGGGGTTATGGGAAAGGATCAGAGTTAGCTGCAGACCAATACTGTTAATTCGAGAAATACTTAGGGGGTGCCTACCTAATGCCAGGTGAAGTATATAGTGAGACTGAGCTTATGATGAATAGCTCAGTATTCACCAAGCTGTAATTACTTTGGAAAGTAAAAGGATGTTTACCTGGTTTGAATAAAATTTGAAACTTTAAATAGTATGCTAAATGGTAAAATTAGAATTTAGGGCAATTGGAGATCTTAGCAATGTATGTTCCCTAGTTCCACCTTAGGTTTTGATTGAAGACAGGCTACTTGCACCTAATGTCTCTCTGGATCAATTGAATCCTAAGTCTAACCATTAAGGACAATTATGAAAACTAATTATTAGGAAAAATATACATTTTATTAATGTATATAGGAGGAGGGGGTATCAAAGCACTTAGGAATCTTTTAGCTAAAATCTTGAGTTTGTTGCAGCCCGGTCTGAGCCTTAAGGTCCCTGTGACAGGTAGAATTGCTCTTGCTCTAACGTTGACTTCGTTACTTCTCCTCATCACTGGTCCACCTCTGCAGATGTCTGGAGTGGCAGCTTTTTGTTGTTGCTGTTGTTGTTGTTTTTGTTTTTTTGTTTGTTTGTTTTTTGAGATAGTTTCGCTTTTGTTGCTCAGGCTGGAGTGCAGTGGCTTGATCTCAGCTCACCGCAACCTCTACCTCCTGGGTTCAAGCGATTCTCCTGCCTCAGCCTCCCGAGTAGCTGGGATTACAAACATGGGCCACCATGCCCGGCTACATTTTTTGTATTTTTAGTAGAGACAAGGTTTCTCCATGTTGGTCAGGCTGGTCTCAAACTCCCCACCTCAGGTGATCCGCCCGCCTTGGCCTCCCAAAGTGCTGGAATTCCAGGTGTGAGTCACCGCGCCTGGCCGAGAGGCCGCTTTATAACAGAAATGTCATGAGCTCGGGAACCAAACTGAGTCTGCCCTTTATTTAAATGTTTCATAAACTTGAGCAAATTGGCTTTCATCTTGGAACCTTCTTAGCTTATTTACCTGAAATGTCAGGGCAAATTGCACCTCGGGCAGAATTTAATGAGGTCATAGTCAAGTAGGCCTGGCGTGGTCCTAAGAGCAGAGGACTGACAAAGGGTCCCCCCTTTTCTCTTCCTCAGAATCAAGAGCCTTGTTATTAGGATTTTTCCTGAGTTTCTCCATACTTCTCCTTCTCTGCTCCTCTGGTCAAAAGTTCAGTGTTAGTAATCATTAAGAGGCCAAGTAGTTGGGAGAAAAGAACCCAAAGGCAAGAACTCCTTGTCTCTTCTTTGTACTTCTAAGGTCTCCTAAGTTGCAGTTTCCTACCTGAGCTAGATGTGACTTGAAAGGATGTTGGGGGTAGATTCTGGAACTTTCATGTTCGGCTATGTAAAATGAAAAAAATCTGAAATGGATGTGGAAATGTCCATTTGTTCTTATTATAATCTCATACTTTATCTTCATTTATGATTGCTATTTAGTCAGCAATAGAACACTTCAGCTTTCAGTTTCTTCCTCTGTTAAGCAAGTCATACTCTGTAAACAAACACTCCACTAAGTGCTCTTTGAAGGGGTCTTTTCAACCTTTTGTGATGTAAAGAATCTTTTACAGCACAAACGAGTCTACCTTCTAATTTAGTTTTTTAAAGTAGGATATTCAGGGACTCCATTTACCTATTCTATTTAGAATTTAATTACACATGAAAGAATGTGTATTACTTTTCTTTCGTTCGTGTAAAAATTACTAGAGGTTGTCTGGCGTGTTGGCTCAGGCCAGTAATTCCAACATTTTGGGAGGCCGAGGCGGGCGGATAACCTGAGGTGGGGAGTTTGAGACCAGCCTGGCCAACGTGGAAAAACCCTGTCTTTACTAAAAATACAAAGTTAGCTGGGCGTGGTGGTGCATGCCTGTAATCCCAGCTAATCAGGAGGCTGAGGCAGGAGAATCGCTTGAACCCAGGAGGCGGAAGTTGCGGTGAGTCGAGATCGCACCACTGCACTCCCGCCTGGGCAACAAGAATGAAACTCAGTCTTAAAAAAATGAAAAAAAAAATTACTACAGTTTTAGCAGCAAAAAACAAAACTTCTTTTCCTTAGCTCACACTTTTATAGGTCGGAAGTCCAGTTCAGGAGGGCTCTGCTAGGTTTCATACTCAGAGTCTCACAGGACAGAAACCAAGATGTGATCAAGCTGGGCCCTTCTGTGGAGGCTCTGGGAGAGAAATGGTTTTTAGTCTCATTCAGGGTGTTGCTTTAATTCAGCTCCTGTGATGATGGCACTGAAGTCCTCCTTTCCTGTTGGCTGTCAGTTGGGGCCGTTCTGTGCCACACTGCCCACATTCCTTCTCACATGCTCACCTCTGTCTTCATACCAGCAACAGTGCTTTGAGGCCTTTCTTTTTACATCTAACATTGCCTTCTGCTTTCTTCTCCTGTTAAAGAAAAAATTATTCGATGACACTTATTAAAGCACATTAATGCAGACTTTATTTGGGGCCATCACAACAGATGTGGGGACTGCAGCAATGAGTTTTCTGATGGAGACATGGGCAAGTGGGAATTTATAGTCGGAAAGCAGGGTGGGAACAGTGGATGAAAAATTATGAAGAGGAAACGTCAGAGATAAGGGAAATTCTGGCTGAACCGACCTAACAGGTTTCTTGCTGAAGACAGTCCAGGATGATCAGATATCACCTGGGAGATGATGGAGGATGAGGAGTCCAATCAGATATCAAGGGTGGGGAGTTCTTGCTAAATTCACTTAGCAGGGTTCTTGCTAAAAGTGGATTTTCTAAGGAAGTGCATAGATGGGCCTGGGAGAAGATTCAGGAGACTGACTAACGTTTGGCCAAACAAAGAACCTTTGTCACACCAGAGAAAGCTTTGTGCGTTTGAGGACTTATGGTTAGACTGGGTCAACCCAAATAATCTCCCTTCTTCAAGATCACCTGTGCTATATAACATAACAGAGCCACGGGGATAATATCTTTTCATAGTCACAGGTTCCAGCATGGAACCTTGAGTGCCATTTTTAGAAATTCTGTCCAGCACAGGTGCATCTCTACAGAAAAATAGTTTTCTGCTCTGTCTCCTTCTCCTTCACGTACCGTTCTCCTGAGCATTCTTCAGAAGGATACTGATATCCTTAGGCAAGAAATCCTGGGACATTAAATAAAAGTAGACAAAGTAACTGAAGCAGAGGAGAAATCAAATAAAAACAGGGATTTCTCAGCAATTTTCTTGAGTTAACATCTTTGAAAAATAGGAACTTCCGAAGTTCAACCAAATCCAAGTTCTGAAGTATCTCACTAAGACTGAAGAGGAATGTATACCAACTCAAAGTTTCCTTGAATTAGACAGAATAATTTTGTTGAGCTGCTAGGTTATATAATAAAGCCTTCCAAGCCCCATTTGATCAGAGTGAGCACTCACCATTTGTCCACGGACTATTAGATTAATAAGTGATATCTAACCAGGCTTATTCTGCCCACACACAGCAAGCCAATCACTGATATGAGTTTTACAAAAGGGAGTTTATTCATGAGGCAGCCAAGTGAGGAAATGGGAGAACATGTCTCTAGCACATCTCCCTGAAGATGGGGTTTTAAGGATATTTGTGGGATAGAGGATTAAGATGGTCCAGACATGGGGAAAGGTGATTGGTAGTGGGGAAAGATGACGTAATTGATGGTCTTTGCAAGTGTAACTGAGGATCATGACTCTTCATAGGACGCATGTTCAGTAGCATGATCTGAGGAAGGAGTTTTGGCCCTCTGATGCCAAAAGATAACATTTTAGGCATTTGTGCAGGCCCAGTTGAAGGGTCGGTGGTCTCAATCAGTTGAAATCAGACAAGAGCTGTCCCCTAGCTCCTGAAAAACAAGTTAAAGCAACTGTTACCATAGTGACATACATATCAGATATATTATCTCTAAGGAATCTGGTGAGAGTTGAGTTACATATTGTTTGGCTACATGACTTTTAGCTATAAGAGTTTAAGATCAACTAGAAGTAAGCAGTTAAAAGCAAGCAAGGCAGGTTAAGTTTGGCAAGCTTAATCAGGTCAGCCTTCAGTTTCACAAGGACCAGAGTACACAGTTATTGAGAAGACTGATAGGCAAGAAAGTTCTTAATTAAAACAAGATGTTAATTTCTTTATAGACTGATTTATAATTTTTTCTTAATTATCCATTTATATTAAACTATATACCACAGTTTGTCATAGCTAAAGGTGAAAAAATTCATTAAAATCTTCATGTGCTATGGGCAAGCAACACCTTCACAAAACACAGGATGAAAAGTATCTAGGCCATCACTCCCGATTGTACTCATTCATTTTACAGTAAGTGCTGAGCACTTACCATGTGCCAGACACTGATGTGGGTATGAGAGAGAGAGCAAAGAACAGAATGTGCCCAGGTCCTGTCTTCATGAGATTTACATTCCGGGGCCCTGAAAGATGAGCTGCTGCCACAGGTCCTCCTGGGCATAAGAAGCAAAGCTGGTTCCTGCAGAATAGTGACTCCGCAAGAGCAGAGCCCAAGGCAGACACCCATCTCATGCCTGAGATCATAAGTCAGGGCCTGAGCTTGGTCAAAGTGAAGACTAAAAATGAACTACTGCCCCTGCTATATGTAAGAAGTGATTTATTGCCTCCTACAAATTCCAGAGTCCACCTGAGTCTGCTCTGGGAAACAGGAAGACTTAACCTAGAGACTCCAAGGTTTATCTAGGGGATATATGCGCTCCATATCATTTAAAATGTGTAATAAAATTTTTCTTTCATAAGACTTTGGGTAAGATAGTGCAATTTAAGCACAGGGTTTAAATGCCTTTCTCTCTATTAATTCCATTGGAAAGACTGATAGGTAATAAAAATAGGGGAAATTTTCATCAGACCTGTGTTGCAATCAAAAGTGAAAAAAATAAACTTGAGGGATTTCTAAATTATACCTTATTTCCATCCAGGGGAAAATAAAGAGGCATGCCTGAACCTCCAGAGGGGCATCAATAGGCTGATAAGGCATAGTCAAAAAGAGCATTTGTTCATATACAAACCTCACTGCGAATTTGGAAAATCTTCCTGGCTGATTGGGATTTGCAGACACCAAGAGAATGTACTGATGAAGGAACAGTTGTGAAGTGCCATTATGAGCAGAGCCCAGGACACAGAAGAGTAAAGAAAGCCCCTGCCCCCAGGAAGAAAGCACAGTTGCCCTTCTGAGACTGGAGTATATCCCCAAGAGGGAGGTTTAAAAAAACCTCTCCATAGTCACCGCAGTAGAGAGGGCAAGGGCAGGAGGCAAGATCAGCCTCGGGCAGCTCTTTCCTTCTTGACATGGGCAGGTAGTATTTAAAAACAACTGCACTAAGTTCCCTCAGGCTCATGAGCTTGCAGAAAGCAGCCGGTGCAGCTAGCTCAGGCTCGTCCTTGATATAGTTAATGGCAGCAGAAGCTATCAGCCAGCACACACTACATATATCTCGTTTTTGTCCCATTTAACAGATTATAAAATCGAAGCACACACAAAAACGTCCCTGTAGTACAAAGTTATAGAGCTAGGATTCTAAACACAACAATTAGATAAAGTATAATTTAGAAATCCCTCAACAGTGAGTTATAGAGCCAGGATTCTAAACACAGCAATTAGATTGCAGAGACCAGATTCTTACTGACTGTATGATATTGCCTCTTTCAGGAAGAATGCTGGGCACTGCTAGGACTTTTAGCCAGTTTCAAGCAGAACTGATTGAACAAAGCTGGCTGCATGCTACTTCCCAGTCAAAGGTAATGAAGGGGAATATGGTACCCCAAAATATTTCACTTTGGTATATGGACAAATTTTAGCTGAAGGCAATTGTGAATCAACAGATGCAGAAAGAAGCCTTCTTGGGGCTTCCCTTGTCTGACTAAAAGCAGAAACTTCAGAGAAATGAGGACCACCATAAATCCTTTCTCCAGGGAAGTTTTATGGTCATGAAAAAGATGGAAAGTTGGCACCAAAATGAGTCTGCCCAAATCTTCCTAAAATAACACTTACCTTACATTAGTTCTCTCATATATTTACCTTCACATAATTTACTGCCCCTAAAAGCCCAAAATTCCCCTTTCCTTTATGTAGTCACTTCCCCACAATTTTTCACCTTTTGTTTATATGGTATATAACCTTACAATTCTACCCAATTCTTTGGGTTTTCCTTGTTTGTTGTTGTTGTTTTTGTAAAACCCTATACTTGTGAAAATGTTAACGTCAATAACATTTGTACGTTTTTTCTCCTGTTCATTTGTCTTTTGTCAGCTTAATTTGCATACCCTAACCACTAAACCCAAGAGAGTAGAGGAAGAGGGGAAAGTGTTTTATTTTTTCTCCACTGCAATAAGAAGAATCACAGAGATGATACAATCCTGAAAGAATTTCACAAGGTGGTAACTTCCTTCCCATTCTTCTCAGGCTGAAAAATTATAAAAACATACCTTTCCTCGCCCCCTTGTGTGAATTGCAAGGATTTGGTTAGAGATCATCATAATTTTCTTTTCTTTTTTTTGAGATGGAGTCTTGCTTTGTTGCCCAGGCTGGAGTGCAATGGCGTGATCTCAGCTCACTGCAACCTCTGCCTACTGGGTTCAAACCATTCCACTGCCTCACCCTCCCAAGTAGCTGGGCCTACAGGTATGTGCCACCATTCCTGGCTAATTTTTGTATTTTTAGTAGAGATGAGGTTTCCCCATGTTGTCCAAGTTGGTCTCGAACTACTGATCTCAGGTGATCCGCCCATCTCGGCCTCCCAAACATCATAATTTTCTAACAGATTTTATATTAGTTACCATTTTGCTGACAGACAATACCAGTTAATTTCAGAATTTAGGCTCTAAGGGTGAGCAAACCTAGGGAAATCGCACTTCTTGGGAAGATAGTACTGGAAAGTTAAGAAGAGCCTCTCTGCCTGTGTCTGGTGTTTTAAACAGGGAAGTGGCAATCCCAGATGGGGAGGAGAGTGTTCACCAAGGGCCATATTCACTTCATTACTGCAGTGTGTTTTCTGATGCCACCTGGGAGGGCACTGGCAAAGGGAAATGTGGAGGGATCAATGGGATCTAAACTTTAATCATGAGGGTGAGACAAACTAATCTGGTCTCCATCACCCAAGGAGGAAACAGAATGGATAGAGACAAGAATGCAGGGGCAATGACCCTTCCTGGCTCTCAAAAGCAAGGTATCCACAGCCAAGCTGTTTCTGGGGTAAAAGGAGAGATCAGAAGTCAGCCAGCCCTGGGTTCAAGTGCCAGCTTCCTGTTTATTGCATGAGTAAACTACAGCAGTTGCTTGAGTCACTGACTATTCTGTCACATGGAGATTATTGTTACCTATCTACTGCATTGGTAGAATTTCATAGGAATGAAATGTAGTGCGTATGTCAGCCTGGCAAGTGCTTGTCATGGACACACAGACTCATTCTTATGCCCACCTACCCCTGTTTATTCTCCACACATTAGCACAACACCCAACGTAAACTTTTAAAATCACGAACAGATTCATGCAGTTTCCCTAATTCAACCCTTCAATGACTTGCCAACACCCTGAGAACAAATTCACCATTTTCCCCCACAGTCTACAGGTCTGCCCATGGCTGATGTTCTAACCTCATCTTTAGCACCCTCCCCCTTGTCTACTGGGCTTCAGTCCCACTGATGGATCACTGCCACTCCACTTGCCAAGAGTATGCATAACCAGGGCCTTAGCATGTGCTGTTCCTTCTTACTCAAAACCCTTCTCTAGATATTTACATGGCTCATTCCCTCAGTTCATTAAGGTCTCTGCTCAAAGGACATGTCTCAGAACATGCTTCCCTGGTTTATCAGAAATGACCATCTTTTTATGCTTGATCTCCTTACTCAACTTCAGTCTCCTTCTTAAACATTACATTATATATTTATTTATTCATCTTTTGTCTGTTTTTTTGTAACACACCATGGGTTTCATTCCTCTCTATTCCAGTGCCCAAATCAGTGCTGGCACATAGATAATAAATGTAAGTTATCTTTGCCTTTCTTCTTTCATTCCCTATCCTCTCTCAGGACTACAGAATCCCATTCAGAATCTACGAGAATCAGAGTTGTGTTTTTATAAGTAAACGAGACTTGACCCCTCTCCTACTATTGCAGGCACCACCACGTTCGCCGATGAAACCCACATTAAGAGTGCATTCTCTGTTCAGTTCCTCTTATGTGTCCTTACAGCATGGAGCTTCCTGAGCTCTGCAACCATGTCCCCCGCTAGGGGGAAGCTGGAAGGAATCAGTTTCTCCCCAGAACTGCCTGCCTCATCCTCGGACCTCCCGCTGCATCTCCCCAGTAAGTGCCTAAGTGCAGCTGTGTGCTCTGCAGCCAATGACTGGTATCCTTATAGGCACCTGGTAAGCTTTATGAGCCTTTATGGCACTTGATACATAATAAATAATAATATGCTGTCAGATGATTACTCTATGACTGCTGCTATGATGAACCATTCAGGGGGAAGTAATAACAATGAGCAAATAGAAAAGCAAACAAAGAAACAATCTGTTTTGCTGCACCTAAAATGAATCTAGGAACACAGAGAGATTCATCAGAAATTGAAATGTTTTGTTGACAAAGGCATGGAGATAATAGGTGTCTTTAAATGTGCCTTTTTCTGAACAGCTCCACTGTGCTCTGCCAGCACACTGTTCTCTGACCTCACACTCATGGAGGTGGCACAGGGGAACAGGGGAAGGGAGGAGACAAGCGTGGTCTCCTCGTCATAGTCCATGTGAAGCCATGAGTCCAGTGAAAGTTAGTTTTTCTCTGGCTCCAACAGGCCGGCAGTTGGGCTGTCAGAAATGAATAATAATG